TCATGAACCAAGACACTTATGTATGTCATATACTTTTCACTGAGTTGCACCTTCCACTTTTACTGAGGCTTATTTCATCCAAATGGAAATCTCTTTGCTATTTATCGTTAAACTGTTGTTTAGATATGGTTTATTATGTTTCCCAAAGTCATCTATATAAACTCTGTTGTAATTGGGTTCCCAGGAAAGCAGATTTCAAAATGGCTGTTCCAAGGGAGGGATAAACCCCTGAGAGGGGCCATTCCCTTTGACAAAGAACAGTTTCTGCAGGCAGACTTGGGTCTGGACTGACAGCTGAGAAAATGAGTGCCTTTCTCCTAAAGGGGTCTATGGGCAATGTACCATAGTATCTACTACAGCCTACCCCTCTCACCATTCAGATCTACCTGCTTTGTATAATAATTTCATTCTGTATGGAAACAGCTTCTCTGAAATGCTTTTCCTAACAAAATTTACAAGAAGGTTAGTGCAAGGATCTATCATCTCTACCATACCAGTTGCTATCAAGGCTGCAACTGGTACTCTGTGGTAGGCTGGATAATGTCCCCCCCAAAAGACATCCACCTGTAAATTTTATTTTGCATAGCAAAAGGGATTTTTCAGATATAATACAGTGAAGGATCTTGAGATGGGGAGATTATCCTCTATTATCTGGGTGGGCCCAATATAATTATAGGGGAGCAAGAAGGTCAAGGGCCTTCTTTGAAGAAGAAGGAGGTGGGCTGATGGAAGCAGAGATTTGAGTGATGCACTTTGAAGATGGAGGCTCATGGAGGTCATGAGCCAAGGAAAGCAGGGAACCTCTAGAAGCTAAAAAGATGTGGAAATGTATTCTCCCCTCAGAGCCTCCAGAGGAACCAGCCCTGCTGACACCTTGAGTTTTGCCCAGTGAGACTAAGTTTCAACTTTTGACCTCTGGAACTGTAGGTAAATAAATTTATCAACACAAATTCTTGAGCCGCTAAGCGTGTGATAGTAAGTTAAAGCAGCAACAAGAAAGCTAATACAGTGTCTCTCCTCTACCACCTATTTTTTTTTTTTTTTGGCTGGTCTTTTGATACAGGAGCTCAAAGTGACTGAGTTCACAGATTCAGTATTCTACCCATAGGGAATTCAACACCATGTAATAGTCATTGTTTTAGTACGTATATTGCCTTTTAGAGGATTGTTCCTCATCCTCATAAGATATTAGGCTGAGTTGCTTCTTTGAAGACCTGTTCCATCGAACTATTAGTCCAGCAGTTTCAGGGCAGGGGAAAGAGATGTTATCATATGTGATAGGACTAATACATCCCTGATCAGATGCCCACTGCTCTAACTCCTTTGCTATAAAGTGGTTCTGTAGTCTAAGGCAATGTTATGTGGGATCTTGTGTCAGCACGCCAAATACTCTGTGATCCTTCAAATAGTGGCTCAGGCTTAGGTCCTGTGGGCAAGAAAGTCAAACCCAAACCTGGATCACATGTAAATTCCACTCAGTGTAATTGATGTCCCTTCCAAGGTGGAAAAGGTCTTATGTAAATAACTTGCACCAAATGATTGATTGGTGTTCTTGAGGGATAGTACCATTCTGGGGGTTCAGCATTGACCTCTGTTGCTAGCAAGTTGCATGTTTAGGTAATAGCAATATTAATAAGATCACCTTGGTGAATGGGAGCTTATGCTGTTGGGTAATGCATAGCTCTTGTTCCTCACACCAAGATTATTCCGTTTGTTCACCTATTGGATCACATTAGGGTGGTTATAATAAAGCCTTGGCTCATGTCACTTGGAATATAGACTTCCTTTTGTCAATGGCATTGGTTTCTATCTATCCTTATGTATGTATTCTCTTTATTACATAAAATACTCTTTATTGCCCATGATGCTGCTTGATATTTGAAGATAATGCCATTAAAAGTAACTTCTATTTACAAGGGCAATTGTGACCAAAGATAAGTGATTTTAGCCCAAGAGTATTCTCTGTTATTTTTCACCCTGAGAATGGCTTTGGCTTTTCTATTGCTGCAGAGATTTTTTTTTGAAAAGTTAGAACCATTTTTTTGCACATTCATATTCTGTTTTGTCTCTATGACTTGGCTCCATAAGAACCTATTTACTGCATAGCAGGATTCTGTTCTGGCGTAAGTAATAATTCTGCTGCAGTAAAATAAATAATACAGTCACAAACAAAGGAGGAAGGTAAAAGAAAATATTCTAAAACAGTCTGCCAAACCAAGTGGTGTTCATTCAAGGAATGTGGGGGATGGATTAATATCTGGAAATTTCAAACTATATGTTTACATAACACTCACATATGTATGCTGGCTAAGAAAACATGCTTGGTTATCTCCATAGATGCTAATAAGACAGTTAAAAATTAAAACAAATATATAAACTTTGAAAATAGGAAGAAAGTGATGCATCCTATATGATTTTAAAATATTTACAGCATTTTCTAGCTTTTGACCATAAAATTTTAAATCAAAAATCAAGAACTAAAACCAAGAACTAAACCAGTATTCTTGCTTTTATCACTTTTATGTAAAATAGCTTAGGAAATTCTAGCCAACACAATAAGCCATGGAATATATAAAAGGTATGGATCCAATACAGAGATATTACTGGAACATCCAAGAAAATGATCTGAAAAAATATCATAGTCAAGAACACAGCTGGGTACAAAATGAATTAAAAAAATGCAGTTTGACTTAATCAGCAATAACTAAAAGTTCTAATGAAGAAAAAATACAGATTTTGTTTTTTTTTTTTTTAAATCTATACAGAGACCATTATCAGATTTTATTTTTTTTTAAAGATTTATTTATTATTTATATAGAATGAGAGATAGAAAGCATGAGAGGGAAGAGGGTCAGAGGGAGAAGCAGACTCCCTGCTGAGCAGGAAGCCCGATGCGGGACTCGATCCCGGGACTCCAGGATTATGACCTGAGCCGAAGGCAGTCGCTTAACCAACTGAGCCACCCAGGCGCCCCTAAAAATACAGATTTTGTTAACATCCACAACAGAGACATAAAGTACACTGGGAAACATCTTTAAAACTCTGTGGGGTTTATATGAAGAAAATGGCAAAATTAGTATTGTAAAAGAATTGGAAAATGGGACAAGCAAACAGAAAAGACAACTCTGAAATACAAACTGATGTGTATGAAACAGTAACTAGGAATGGAATTATTCAATAAATGATGGTGGGAAAATTGATTAGCTATTTAGTAGAAAATGTTCATCTTTACTTCTATATACAGCAGATAGATTTAAGAGCTAAATGAATAGTTAAAAGATTAATTTCTAAAGTACCATATGTTAAATGTTTTAAGTTTTTTTCTAATCTAGAAAAAATGCAAGAGAATTTTTATTAAACCTTTGGATGAGGAAAGTTTGAAGTTAAAAAACAAAGCCATTAAATGAATCACAGGAAAGCAAGGAGTACATATAGGAGGTTATTCGCATGCTTAGAGTCTCTATGCCAAATACATAGAAACTATGAACATGGTTTTCCCAGGGCAGGGAACAGGGGTGAGAGGGAGACTAACTTTTCACTGTGAACCTTCTTTTATATCTTTTGTTTTTTTTGTACTGTGTTCATGTATTACTTTTTCAAAAAAATAAACAACTCAAATTCCCAGTTTAAAAAAGAACAATGAAATCCCAAAAGGTTGACAGATTTGGCTCTTTAAAAACTTAGCACATCAATAGATAACAGCAAAGAAACTAAAAATAATGAAACATGGAGACATATTCACAATTAATATGCCAAGTGTTAACTTAATATCCTTCGTAGAAAAAGATATCAAAGGAGGATCCCAAAACTTGAAGTCATCTCAGGAAAAACTGACACAGGATACAGTGGGCAATTCCCAAAGGAAGAAATACAAATGGCCAATAAGCATGTGAAAATACTCAACCTCACTTCTGGTCAAGGAAATTCCAAGTAAAACAGCAATGAGATAACTGTTTTTCACTGATCAAATTAGCACAAATTAACAATACTCTGTGCTTGCAAAGGCAAGGGGGAAAGCATGTTTTCACCCAGCTGATGGGAATATATATACATCAGTAAGACCTTTCTGGAAAATAGTTTGGCAGTATGTATCATGAGCCCTAAAAATGTTCCTGTCCTTGGTCTCAGAAATTTCCACTTCCTGAGAATCTAGACCATAAAAAATCTAAGTATGGAGAGGGCTTCATGCATAAGATGTTTACTGCAGAATTAGATACAATAGCTAAACCAGATTGTTAGGCTGGAGCTTTCAGTAGGACAGAGAAGCCCCATCACTTCCCATCTCGAACAGTACATGGTGGTGTAAGGATCAGATTGCTTCACTGCTTGATTATATTTTCATTTTTGTCAGTCTGCCAGGCCACGGACCGACCAATTTTCCAAATTAAAGTGATGGGCCTATTTTTCACATTTAGATGTTTTGGAGGGTCATGTTACCTCCCAATAAAGATGATTAGATATTTGAGGGAGAATTAAATAGTTGAATGAAGGGAAATTTGGTTGGGGAAAGCTAACGTGGATTTGGTAGTTATTTGAACCGAAAAGAGAGAGCTGAGATGATGTGTTCTGTTGTGTAGAGAAAGAGAAGGAATGTTTATGAGGGGAAATTGGAGGATGATTTGAAACATTTTACAAAAATCACTGAAACGTCAGAGGAAAAAAAGTCAACCCTGACCTGTAATGGACTTAGAAACCGAAACGCCTGAAAATTAAACCCACTTGGCAAGTGAATAATTAAGCTTCTTTGGACTATCCCTACTCCCTGGATGTGGATCTGTGACAGCAGAAACCTGCTGTTTCAGCACATTTGCATATCACCTTGTCCACCAGATTCTCATCTCCAAGGAAGAAGGCCCTCATCGTTTTAGGGCTTTCAACCTCACCCCTTAGGGCACGGTATGGCATACCCATTTGCTAAGTGAATAAGTTGGTATGTTGTCAGTCCTTTGAAAGATAACTTTCCAGAATGTTATTTAACATGAAGGTTTTCTTTCAACTAGGATTACCAGACCAATAACAATGACCAAGCAGTGGTTGAAATCTGTATCACTCGAATCACGACAGCCATCAGAGAGACAGAGTCAATTGAAAAACATGCCAAGGCCCTTGTGGGGCTCTGGGATTCCTGCCTGGAGCACAACCTGAGACCCTCTGGGAAAGATGAAGACACTCCCCATGCAAAAATTGCTTCTGATATCATGAGTTGCATTTTACAGGTATGTCATTGTTCATCATCATGCTATTTGATACTGGCTTTGCAACTTCGGTGAACACATGGTATCTCTGAACCAAGAGCTAATGTTTCTCTAGCCTTTAGATCCTGTAAAAAGATACCACAAACCATCAATAGCTGAGCCCCACAAGGCTCTAGAGAGCCTCAGCTGTCTGCAAGACACACTGTGGGAATTCAAAGTCATACCGCAGCAAGTTCCAATCTATTTAGAAAGATAAGACATGTGCATATCAAAACCTAACATTAATGTATGCCAAGATCCAAATGATGAATACTGGAAAATTCAGAAAAAAAGACTTCTTTTATCCAAGGAGACCAAAGAGGGGGTGGAGTCGGAACTGAGCGACCCATGAGCTTGGAATACGTGGAGAGAAGTGACTAAGTCATTTTTATATACTTCTATGTACTTCTATATGCATCGTGAATTTGCCATGATAATAATATTTGCCTATTCTAACTGCCTGGCTGACTCAGTCGGTAGAATATGCGACTCTTGATCTCAGGGTCATGAGTTCGAGCCCTATGTTGGGCGTGAGGCCTACTTCAAAAAAAAAAATTCCTTTTTCTGGTGTAAACATGAATTTGGAATTTGGGCTCAGCTACAAACCAATCATGTAAGATTGAAATGCTAGGGAAGTCACTTAACTTCCCAAGCCACAGTTTCTTGCCTATAAAATACAGATGAAATGACATTGTTTAGGACAAATTTTACCAACCAGTAAATGTTGGTGATATTGATAGGTGTTTCTCAAAGGAGAATTCTATGGTCAAATAAGTTTGGAAATACTGAACTCATTTTTTCCCTTTTGGACTATCATATGTTTCATAGCATATTAAAGGCTCTGAAAAGTCCTGCAATTAAGAAAGCTGGTTAATTTTGTTTAGTACAGTACTTTTGATTCTGATGTGCCCATGAAACTTCCTTTCCCCTCCCTACCCCCAAAACAGTATTATGAATACCTCTCAGAACTATGGTTTCTGAGCACAGTTCAGGAAATTCTGGTTATGTGGGAGTGTTGCACTGGGTCGTCTAATATTAGCCTCCTTTCTTCTTCCTCCTCCTCCGCCTTGTTCACCTCTCCCTCCCCCTCCCCCTCCTTTTCACAGTTGTCTATACTTAAGTGGACCATATTCCATTTTGTCTGTCTAGACCAGACACTGCTCTACTGAACAAAAGACTCTACACACCCTGTCACACTGTTTTTCCTTTGTCCCCAGGGTTAGAGATAGGAGGGGAGGAAATGGGGATTTCAGAAAAATTAGTGAAAGATGAATGCTGCATGGAGATACAAAACAAAGACCTAATACACCTGTTCTTCACTGATTATCTAACACAGATTATCTTATTCCAAAGTGCCATTCCACAGACATTCAGACAGAAATTCACAAATCATCCATACTCTCTAGCTCCCACTGTGATTTCAAAACCATTTTTGAGTCTGGACTCTAGAGTGGCACTATCCAATAGAAACGGACAATAAGCTACAAACAGAAGCCACATATGTAATTTCAAATTTTCTAGTAGCCACATTAAAGAGAAGAAAAAAGGAACAGATGAAATTCATTTGATAACATATTTTCCTTAACCCAGTATATCCAAAATATTATTTCAACACGTAATCAATATAAAAAATTAATGAGATATTTTACTTCTGTTGTATACCAACTCCTATAAATCTGGTGTGTGTTTTAGCACATTACTTCAGAGTGGTCACGTTTCAGGGCTCAGTTGCTTCCCATGCATCTTGGCTCGTGTGTCAGCAGAGTTCTAGAGAGTCAGGAAGTCTTCCTGGATGGAGACCACATTTGAAATGGTTATGAGCAATGAATGGCAATTTCACCAGGTAGGAAAGGAGGACATTTCAAGCAGACAAAACATTCCAAACTTGTGCAAAAGTACAGATTTGTGAACTGAGATCAAGGTCAAAGAATTTTAAGCAGGCTGCCCTTCAAACTTCCCCAAATTTAAACATAAAGGGGATGTTTCATTCTGGGCAAAGGCATTAGATCTCCCACTTAAAAAGGGGGTTGGAGCACTGGGTGTTAGCCGCAAATAATGTCATGAAACACTACATCAAAAACTAATGAAATAGGGGCGCCTGGGTGGCTCAGTCGTTAAGCGTCTGCCTTCGGCTCAGGTCATGATCCCAGGGTCCTGGGATCGAGCTCCACATCGGGCTCCCTGGTCCGCGGGAAGCCTGCTTCTCCCTCTCCCACTCCCCCTGCTTGTGTTCCTGCTCTCACTGTCTCTCTCTCTCTCTGTCAAATAAATAAATAAAAATCTTTAAAAAAAAAACCAAAAAAAACTAATGAAGTACTACTGTACAGTGACTAACGTAACAATAAAATAAATTTTTTAAAAGGGGCGGGGGTTGGAGGTGGGGAGCAAATAAAACACTAAACTTAATGCTGACCAGTGACTCCAAGGAAATGAATGTGTAAGACTATTGAGAGCAGGGCCCTAAGCACAGGCATTGATATTTCGGGAAGGGACAGAGAACGTGGCTACAGGATAAGCCTCTTGGTTGAGAAGGACAAGTGAGTCACATAAAGGGGCAACTCCAGGGGTGCCGGGGTTGCTCAGTCGTTAAGCCTCTGCCTTTGGTTCAGGTCATGATCCCAGGGTCCTGGGATCAAGCCCCGCACTGAGCCCCGCACTGAGCCCCACAGTGAGCCCTGCACTGAGCCCCGCATCGAGCCCCACATCAAGCCCCACATCGGCAGGAAGCCTGTTTCTCCCTCTCCCACTCCCGCTGCTTGTGTTCCCTCTCTTGCTGTGTCTCTCTCTCTGTCAAATAAATAAATAAAATCTTAAAAAAAAAGGTGGGGAGCGACTCCAGCCTGAAGGGCCAGTGTGGACACAGGGTGTTCAACTGTGCGCCCTCGGAGGAGGCAGAAGGTATTAAAATGGAAGGCAGGGAGCCCTAAAGGCAAACTTGCTTTTTGGCAAAGTTCAGTGATCTGTGCAGGCCACCCCTGGGGATGTGGTTCCAGAAAGTCAGCCCCAGGAACCAAAGGCAAGGCTGTGGTTGCAGCTTTGCTGTGTAGCTTTGATCAAATTTTAAGGGAAAATTTTTGGCCTGTGGTAAATATCGAAAACACGATGTTGTATTACATGTAATTTAGGATCTTGTGAGAACCATGTAGAAATCCAGATGGCTCATATTCGGTTCTAGTTTTTCAGTAAAATAAAACAGTAGATCAACTTTAAAGCCAACCGCTTAGCATTTGAGCTTGCACAAAACCCAAAAAACAACAAAACAACAAAGAAAGAGTGATTCCTTCTCCGCCCATCTACGTCCCCAGATAAGCGATGCCAGAATCACACTAACAGGTGCGGACCTACCAGTTCTTCCCACATCCTTGGCCATTTTAACTCAATTTTTTTTTTTTTCTGGCCATTTCACTATCATTTCAAGCTAAATATTTTCACACACATAGAAACCTTCTGTCTTTTTTCCCCCACATTGCTTTTTTAACCTACACTCCAAACCTACTTCAGGTGACTCCTTCCTTTTCCACTTTTAATTAGTAATTATATATTTAATTATTTCTTTTCTTGACCCCTACATTTATGAACTTGCCACATTCACCTTAAAGCAGTTTTTAAAATTCCAGTATTCACCTTCCATACATTCCTCAGTCCAAAATCAGTACCAGTACTCACATGCATTTGTGAGTTCTGGTTTCTTTTGCCTTGGGTGACATGTTTTTACAAACCTACCCCATGTCCTTAAACAAGTCTCACAACCTGTCCTTTATAAAACAGAGGATGAACCAGATGATCTCTCAGCTCACCTTCCGGTCTAAAATTCTGAGTCCTGTAGGAGATGCTGAGAGGTAGATTAGCAAAGAGCTTTGGAGCTTGAGGGCCTTCCAGTCAAATGCTCTTGGTCTTATATAAATGAGAGCGTGGCAAGTTATCAGAAAGTAATTATTTTTCTTTTTTGTAGATGGACCAACTGTCCATTCACCTTGATTCTACACTTCAATTTTCTTATTTCCTCTTCAGTTAATGCTATATAAGATTCAAAGTCTGTCCCTGGCTGGCCTTGCATGCGAAGTGCCTTGGGCATTTTTGAGAGCATTTCCTTTGTAGCTCTTAGAGGCAGAATTGGTTATCTTGATCCAGAAGTTTATTCAGTAGGCAATCCCAGCTCTACCATTTACTTGCAGTGTGATCTTGGGCAATTTTATCTTTCTGTGCCTTGATTTCCTCATCTGTAAAATGCTGCAGCTGTCTCATGAGTTTGTTGTGAGGATTACATAGTCATTAGATAATAGACGTAAAATATTTGGGACACAGGAAATGCTGCATGATTATTAATTCTGGTTGGCATTATCATCATCTGTGGAAAACTCTAAAATAGCACTCAGTGCTTTCTAACAAGCTATTCATTTCATTATTTATTTTAGCCATTGTTCATTGCTTGTCTCCCCCTCCCCAGAATAGAAGCTCTGTTTTATTGATGTAGTCCCAGCACCTAAAATAGTGAATGGCACATAGTAAGTACTCAAAATAATGTTTATTGAATGAATGAATGAATGAATGAAGGATTGAATAGATCAGGAGATGTGGCTGCCCTCTGGATTTTGCAGAACAGCTATGTTTCTCTCTAGAGTGGGTCTCAGTATTTATTCATCAGTTAATGCCACACAAGACAATGGCAAAAAAATGGGAGGAGACTGGGACACAACCACCCAGGTTACTGAGACCCACTCCCTTATTACCTGTCTGAAAACACACTGGGAAAATTTAGGTGTATGTGCCATTTAGATTATATGCATACCCATGCTGCTAAGAACCAAGCATTTTATATATAAATCCAAAAAATTTGCTTGTTTGATTATCTGATCAGTGATGCAGGGTGAAAAGCCATAAAACAGTGATTTTAATAAATGACACTTAATATTTCTTGAGATTACTCTTTTAGGGCTTTTAGTTGAATTCAAAGCCCAAGAGCCAAAGAGCTTTTTAGTTGC